GGAGGGAGGGGCCGGGAGCGGGGGGTGGGCCTTGGGTGTTGAGCGCTACCTGGGGCGGGCTCGAGCTGGGGGCGGGGACTGGGGTGGGGCCGGGAGAGGAGGGAAGGGCCGGGAATAGAAGGCGGTGTCGTGAGAGGAGGGCAGGGCCCGGTGAGGAGGGCGGGCCCGGGAGCAGAAGGCGGGTCCATGAGAGGAGGGCGGAGCCGGGTGTGGAGGGAGGGGCCTGTAGGGAGGGCGGGACCGGGAGCAGAAGGCGGTGCCGAGAGGAGGGCGGGGCCGGGTGCGGAGGGAGGGGCCTGTGGCAGGGCGGGGCCGGGAATGTAGGGCGGGGCCTCGTGGGGGCGGGTCCGGGGCAGGGGGCGGGCCTTGGGTGCTGGGCGCGGTCTGGGACTTGATTCGGAGCCGGGTGCGCCGCCTGGGAATCCGCGCTCAGAGACCCGGACGCCCAGGTCTTGGAGAGAGACCCCAGCCCCGGGACGCCCCGCCGCCCACCGCGCGCCGGGGGTCCAGAACCTCTCCTGCCCCCTCCTCTGTTCCTCCAGGACTCCCCACTTTCCGACAGTTACTTGTGGCCACCTGTGGTTGCCGGTGTCAGTCAAGTCGCTGTGTGTCCCCGCCCGGAGTGGAACCTCTGTCTCTGCAGATGTCATTCACACTGTGACCTCCCCAGGAATAAGCCTGCAAAGAAATGCGAGCCCAGAGTGGCGGCGCCTGGAGTTCCAGCTACCGGGGAGGCTGAGGCAGGAGGACGCTGGAGCCCAGAAGGTGGAGCCTGCAGTTAGCTGTGATGACGCCACTGCAACCCAGCCTGAGCCACACAGTGAGACCCTGTCCCCCCCCCAAAAAAAAAACGGCAGAAAGAAAAAGAAACGTGCAAGGCCACATTTTTGAAGAAATCTAAACCTTGACTGTGAGACATGACAGGAGCTCAAACCAAACCAGCAAAAGCCCCATTCCCACATGGAAGGAAAGCCATAAACATGTCAATTCTTCACCAGCTGGTTTGTAAACGGATGTAATCCCAATCAAAATGTCCACAGAATTTTCCAAAAAACTTAATGAGCTGATCCTCAAGTCATCTGGAAGAGCTAATACATGAGAATGGTTAAAAAAAAAAAAATCTTAGAAAAGAGGCCGCTCGTGGTGGCTGCACCTGGAATCCCAGCATTCTGAGAGGCCGGGAGTTCGAAGCTGCAGTGAGCTGTGATGACCTCACCGCCCAACTCCAGCCCGGGCAACAGAGGGAGATCCTGTCTCAGAAAAAAGACAAAGGAAAGGAAAAGAGAAGAAAACCGAAGGCGGACACAATTGCCCTTTTGTATATTTAAAAATTACATCAAATTATAGCCAATAAGACCAACTGGTATTTGTGCAGGGACAAGTGGAATAAATCCAAGACTCCAGAAATTGTCCCAGTATACAGGAAATTTAGGGACCTCAAATCAATGAGGAAAAGACAGAGTCTTCAATAAGTTTAGGGTTTCCATGGAGAGGAGGAAAAGGGCAAATTGAATCCTGACCTCACACTGTTGTAAAATTAAATGCCAAGCCATATTAGCAGCTAATGGTAAAAGCAAAGCCATAAGACTACTGGAATCAAATACAAGGGAATATTTTAAATCTTCAGTAAATATCCGCCATGGGAGGAGCAGCGCTGGCACCTGAGCCCCATCCTTGGTGTGAAGCCTCCATCCCCTCCAGCCTGCCAGTGCCAGCCTGTCCCCTGCAGGGCGAGGGCAAGCCCATGAGCCAAGCTCCAGCACTGTGCGGATGAGGACACGCAAACCCACGTTGGCGGTGAAAGCCAGGGGATTTCTGCACTGTGGAAGGCCTAAACTAGGCGCAAGCGCAGCTAAAGTAGAGAGAAAACAGAAAAAGACCAAAGTCTCAGCCACACCAAGTGTAGCGTTTTCCCACATTTGCTATTTGGTTCAGCTCTTTTAGTTTGTGGTTTTTTAGTTTTGTTTTGGGTTTTTGGGGGGGGTTCTCTAGAGTTGCTGGAACATTCTAGAGACCCCGAGTGTTTCCAGAATCAATTCCCCTCCCTCCCTGCCCAAAGGTAACCGTTACCCCACCCTGTTTGATCGTCAGTGCCAAACAGGTTTTTATACTCTCCATAAACAATGAATACTATTGTGTTGCATGTTTTAAAATTGTACATGAATGACCTCATACCTAACCTTCTACCAGTTGCTTTTTTTTCTTATCAATGTTTCTGATATTTATTTACATTGAGACATTTGTTTTTGTTAAAAGAACAAAGCATAATTTATTTACGCATCTCCTGCTAGGGAAACTGAGGTTCCTGCAGTGAGCATCCTTGCCTATGTGCCCCTGTGCGCGTGTGGCGTTTCTCTGGGAGGAAGCCCAGGAGCGCCATCACTGAGTGCAGGGCATATATGCCTTCAGTTTTCCTAGGTATTGCCAAATTGTTCTCCAAAACTGTCACATGAAATTACAGTCCCATAGTCCAATAGTGTCCCATATTGTGGCCAAACTCTAGGTATATTAGTTATCTATTGCTGCAAAGCAAATCTCCCCAAAACTTAGCAGCTTACAACAGCAAGCATTTGCTGTTAGGTCTGGCCTCCTGGACTGTTGTCCTGGTTCTTTGGCTCCTTGCTTGGGAAGCTCACGAGCAGGCCGGTGTGACGGAGTAATGGCAGACAGCAAGGAATCCCACACAAACAGCTTCCATTGCAGAACCAAGGGAGCTATGCAAAGCGAGAGTGCGTTCCAGAGAGGAACGGGTCAGTCTCCACGAGTGGAGAGGATGTTGAGGACGCCCAGGTAGTTCCCTTGTATGGCCTGGTCCGGGGCAGGTTGCTGCGGGGAGGTGGGGGGTGTTACCGGGTGACCAGTGTCCATGATGCTCAGGTGTCCTGCGGTTTCCTGCGGTCCTCTCCCCCCACCTTCTCCGCCCCTAGGAACCGCCCTCCTGGCCTGTATCTGCCACCTGCAGACTTGGTCCCTGCCTGACATTCATCTTCTCACACGGGGTCTGAGGGTCAGGGGTCTGGAAGAGGCTTAGGTGGTGATCCTGGCTGAGTCCCTCGGAAGGCTGCAGTCACCTTAAGACCTGAGTGGAACTGCATGCAGGCCCCGCTTTGAAGCCCACTCGTGCGGCGAGTGGTGCGACGCTGCCATTCCTCGCGGTGCAGGCCTGTCTGTGTGGCTGTCCAGTGTCTGACGTGGTGGCCGCTGCCCCAAGCAAGGGAGCTGCAAGGCTGTGGGTGAGTTGTCCCACCCGTCTGCTGCAACACTCTGTGTGAGAGGCAAGTCGCCCTCCGGCCACACCCAAGGCGGGTAGGAAGCTGCTTCTGGAGGAAGGAGGGGTCGCGAACACATTTAAAAGCATCCCCAGCCGCACCTTGGCCCACCCAGACGAACACGCGTGGTGCATGGACTTCCCAGCAATGGCGCTGGCGGCTCTGACAACAGAAGGACACTGGAGGCTTCTGGGAGAGGAGGCCTGCTCCCAGCCAGCGTGAGAGGGGACACCCGAAGTACAGGAGGATCCTGAGAGCATAGTGCTGCCTGCACCAGTGCAAGAGAATGTTCAAGAAAAGACTCGAAGCAACAAGTAGAACGAGGACAGAACCCTGAAGGCAGAGCAGCTGGAGAGGAGAAAAGGCAGAGGAGAGCTGGGGACGTTGGTGATGTCTCTCTCTCTCTCTCTCCATCTCTGTCTCTCTGTCTCTGTCTCTCTCTCAACACCTGTCACCTAGACGAGAGCAAGGCAGAGAGAGCGGGCACAGGGTGTGGGTTGGGACTCCCGTCTCCCTGGAGCGCCAGAGCTAAGGACGGTGGGCTCTCGGCTTCCCCACGCTGGGGGAGAGCTGCCTGCCCAGCCTGGCCCCCGCTCACCTGCAGAGTGCCAGCCTGGCCGGCGCTGGAGGCGCAGTGGCCCGCACCATCGTTCCTGGGGGCAGGGAGGCCTTTGGCGTTTCCCTTCCCCGTCCCAGAGGACAGAGCTAGGCGTCTTCCCATCTGGAGCCCCAGGGAGTCACCCTGAAGATGCTTTTACGCTTTTGGTTGTCAGCAGCTTCACGGTAATACTCCTGGGTGTGTCTTCCTTGCATTTATGCTCATCCAAATTCACAGAGTTTCTGGAATCTATGGCCTCTTGTCTTTATGGGTTCTTGAATATTCTTGGCCAATATCATGCAAAATTTTGTTTAACCACTCAGACTGGTCTTCTCCCTCTCACTCCCCCTAGGAAGGGGGGACAGTCAGCCATCAAAGCAATGGCAGCGAAGCCACTTCTCGCTCGGAGAGGACGTTGCGCCGCCTCCCTCATGGTTCTGGGTGCTCTGCGCAGTCCAGTAAGGAGCTTCAGAAAGGGTCCCTGCACGCTCCGTCCCACTGCGCAAACGCTGGCTCTGCCCGGTGTCCCTCCCTTCCTGGCTCTGCCCACAGCCTGCTGCGCCTGCACTCGCTCCGTGTCTCCGCTCGTTTTCCC